TAGATATAGATAGATATAGATAGACAGATAGATAGATAGATAGATAGATAAATAGATGGATAGATACATACATAGATAGATAGATAGATAGATAGATAGATATAGATAGAATGACAGATAGATAGATAGATAGATAGATAGATAGATACATACATAGATAGATAGGTAGATAGATAGATAGACATGTAGCTACATATGTAGATATATCATAACAGGACAGATTGCTCGCATGTATGTCATGAGTGAGCAGCAGAGGATTCTCTGTTTGGAGCAACCCAAGGCACTAAGCATGCAATACACATGCTCGTATTGCCGCAGGAGTAAACATGAGGATTAGTGAGCATGCATACATCTACCTTGCCTCATGAAGAATTCCATGATTTACATGTGTTGTATCTTCCATGCATAAGCAAGCCTCGTCGACCTCCATTTCAGTTGGCGTGAGGGATCCACATTCCTCCACTTCCCGATCCAACCCCAAGCTGGCCAAGCTCATGACATAGCGTTCCGGAGTGGTCGCAGTTGCTGGGCCATCCGAGGCTGTGTCCAAGTACGGATCCACGAGTGTGGCCTCCACTTGCTCATCCGCTCGCTCGGGGCAAAGCTGGTTGCAGGAGGCTGCTGGGGCGGGACTTTGCGCTGCGTCGGCCTTTGGAGGGGATATCTTCTGAGGCGTTGCATCACGAACTTTCAGAGGCTTCGGTGACGCAGTCTTCACAGCTTCTGACAGGGGCGACGGTGAGTCTTCAGCCTGCTGTCGTTTCAGGGAGGCCAAAAGGGCCTCTGCATCCTGACATGACAAGACATGACATGTTAACTGTACACATGATCCATGAAACTCATGAAACATGCAGTCGTGTCATGTCATGACATGCACATGTGCATCACTCCATGCAGTCCTTAATCTTCTGTTCCAATTCGGAATCTTCAAGCTTGCAGGGCACGAGGCCTGCAGCCATATCGGACATGAACGACATCCCCTGTTGAAGGGTCGCAGCACTATGCGAAGCCGATGCCATCCCTTAGACCTAAAGAAAAACACAAAATCCTGGTTGAGCCAGGACCAATCATTGAAAGCACCCGTGCACATGGTGAAGGCATGCCATGTAGAATCATGTGATCTGAACCATGCACTCATGCACACCTTGCAGCGTCGACGCTTGGGTCATTTTTGTGCAACTTTGCCCCTGTGTTTTCCAACACAGACCATGAATTTTTGTGAAAGTTGCAAGCGTTTTTTGGACTACGCAACTATACGCCTTTTCTACGCAACTCTACGCCTTTTCTACGCAACTTCTACGCTTGCAACTTTTCCTAAAGTTGCAAGTGAAACTTCTTAGATCGAGGCCAAATCGAAATCCCAGGCGTCCGGAAGCTGCAACTTTGAGCTTGTTTTAAGATAAAGGAGCACATCCATCATCCCCGCATCCGGCCAGGTGTCTTCGGCCCCAAGACGCGCGTGAATGTGCTCAGGCAAGATCACGTCGGCTGGCACCTGGGGAAGTCGGGGCTTCCAGTTTCCCTTCTAGAATGGTCAAAGAGCAAGCAACCCGACCCCTAGCCGAGCCCAAGCCTTCTCTGCCATTCGACACTCAGACTGGTCCTGGATGAGAGCCTGGAAAATCTTGGCGAAGTGTACTCCGAAGCCAAGGGGGTAGATCCTGGGATTTCGGTTCTCGTTTTGAGAGTATATATGAACACAGTATACATTATATATATATATATATACATATTACACATTGTACATGCTCTACAATTGTTCTATTACATGATGTCATGTTATATATATATATATACAGTATACTCTAGAAAGTTAATATATATATATATATATATATTATATTTTATGCATTATATAACATATATATATATGTATACATATATTTTGACATTGCGTATTTATTATCGCAAAATGCACATATGCATGCATAGAACATGCAAAACATACATATATATATATATATATATAATATTGTGAATATATTTATAAAGCATAGTATAAGGAAAGATCGATAATATAATAGTTTTCGTGCATGTATAATCTTTTCTAGATTCGGGCTGTTTCAAACATTGGCACATAGTACTTTCTTTCAGCCATGGGGCCCGGATTTTCGCAGCTCTGCTTTCTTCCCAGTGAAGCACTTCTTGTTGTTTTTGTCAACATGGTGATGAACCAAACGGAAACCGCTGGGAGGTCTGTTCTTCGACAACTTAGGTGTTGCAAACAAGCACACTGCTGGCTTGTTGGCCCAAAGTGAGGTTCTTTTCGGTGTTGGGGAGCCATATACAGACATCCAGAACCTCTGCCTCCAAAGCCGAATGCGCTTAAGTAACCACTGACACCGAGGATGCCTCATGAGCATAGAGGAAGCAGGTTGCTCAATTGTTATCGTGCCCCCCTTCGCCTGGATGACCACTGCCAGGAGAGCCATCCTTCAGGGAAGGGACATGAGGCCTGGGCCGTGTCTAACATGCATGCATGTGCACTACGATGACATGGTACATGGGTTTCATGACATGCGTGAACTTGCCATGCACCTGGATGCCATGATGTTCGAAGCAGAGACTCCCTTAACAGAATCATCTCCGAGCGGGCGCCAGAAGGACCGCTTCGTGGCGTGTCGTGATATCAGAACCCAGGAGCTGCAAACCATGCCGAAAAACACCGCCACTGAACTTGGCGATCTCAGAATGGCCAGTAAGAGCAACCTCGAATGCATGCCGGCCCACTAGACATGTGACATGGTAAAGGAGACCTCGCGACATACAAGTGGAATTAAAATATATATTTGCAGCAAAAAGACACAAAGCCCGACGGCTGCAGAAAGTCTAAAGGATTGTTCTTGAGTGGTTCATGCCCACGAGCAGAGCGACCAGCATGCCAGGCTTTCCAGGACTCGATGTCTACAGCAGTGGCACGGTACCCTGCCTGTCGCAAACACCACGTGAGCTTCGCCGAACCAGCAAAGCACTCGATGCTCTCGTAGCCTTCCTACCGGACAGCAGAAGAGTTGCCATGTGCACAGCAACTAGAAGCGGCTGAAGAAAGATAACATGGTGCCATGCAAAGGCATAAACATGCAAGCTGAGCTATTGTTCGCGAGCCTTGTGGGACCCGGTGTCGGTGTAGGCAGCCAAAACCACGCAATACATCAGCACCTAGCGGCTTGGCAAGTGCACTTGTCGACATGCGTGAATTGACCTACTCAGTGTGTATCTGTGTCAGGCACATACGTGACAACATATAGATTTCGTGTGTATATATATATATATATATTATATACATAGTTTATACAGTATACATGCATGTACTATATACAGATGTATATATATATATATACACATGACGAATATGCACGAGGCCTGCGTATATGATAATATAGTCGTATATGCTCTTATCGTAGCTAGACATTATAATCATTAATATATATATATATATATAGATCAACATGTGCAAGCATGTGTGTATACATATCAAACTCAATAATTGCAGAAAGGCCACAGCTGGAGCGTTAAGTTTCCATAGTGAAACCAGCAGCTCTTGGAGTTCCGACTCCACAAGACATGGCGCCATGCTAAAGTCACACGCATGAAATATGCATGAACCAGTCAGCTGCAGTGCCATATGCATTGCACACACCACAGCACGGCATGCATGGAAAGAAGCCTGACATGTTCATGCATGAAAGACTGGGTCCCAACTGGCAATCATGGGGGCGCACTTGACGAAGCTGGAGTCTTTCGCTTGACACCACGTTCTCGAAGCAAAAACTTCGCACTCATAGGTCACCATATACCTGCGAGGGCATTGCACATGGCCATGAATATGAGTCTGCGTGCGCTAGCATGAACACATGGTAACATGGACATGCAGCAGCAGGCAAGCACTTGCAAGAGTTTTCCACTGCCTGCACAGAACTTTTCAGCACTTCGGCGTCTAAAGAATCTTGTAGGATTCATCAGGAACCATGTGATTCCCGTGGGAAAGCTATACATGACAAAAGCTTGGTCATGGTAGGTCAGGCCACCATTCCGGAACCGGTACACGTTTGAAGGGTCTCATGATATCATGTATAGATGCCATTGCCATGCCAATGCCATCCAAAGTTCACGCTCGGCGACGTCCTCTCGGCCCCTGGTAGCTCGGATCCCTGCATCTCGCGCAGCCCCGCGGCGACCAGCGGCACTTCGGGCAGCCAAATTCTGGATCATCCGTGGGCTCGCCGCCCCGTGTGGATGTCTTCGGCTTCGGCTTGTCCTTGTCGCTCTTCTCGGTCTTGCACGGCTTCTTCTTCGGGGCGTCGTCCTTGTCGCTCTTCTCGGTCTTGCGTGGCTTCTTCTTCGGGGCGTCGTCCTCGTCGCTCTTCTCGGTCTTGTGTGGCTGCTTCTTCGGGGCGTCGTCCTCGTCGCTCTTCTCGGTCTTGCGTGGCTGCTTCTTCTTCTTCGGGGCGTCGTCGTCCTCGTCGCTCTTCTCGGTCTTGCGCGGCTGCTTCTTCTTCGGGGCGGCGTCGTCCTCGCTCTTCTCGGTCTTGCGTGGCTTCGTGTTCTTCGGGGCGTCGTCGTCCTCGCTCTTCTCGGTCTTGCGTGGCTTCTTCTTCGGGGCGTCGGTGTCCTTGCTCTTCTCGGTCTTGCGTGGCTTTGTCTTCTTCGGGGCGTCGGCGTCGTCGTCCTCGCTCCTCTCGGTCTCAGGAGCTTCGGGTTCCTTCTTTCCTCGGCCCCGGCCCCTTCCCCTTCCTTGGCCCCTTCCTCGCCCCTTCCCCTTTGCAGCCTTTGCCGCAGCCTTTGCCGCAGCCTTTGCCTCACGCCTCTGAGTCCGCATCTGCTTCTGCAATGCCGGCGTGATCTCTTGTTCGGGAGCCACCTGGCTCGGGTCTAGGGGGCAAAACCATGCATGTGGACCCTGAATGGTTACAAGGGTGACTCTTATGCATGTGCATTAAGACGCACAAACACACATGAAAACAAACATGCATGTTAAGAAGTCCCTCATGAAACCATGCATGTGTGCACATGAACATGTTATCATGTATCAGAACCTCCTCCGCAGCACCAGGCATTGGCTTCGTCGTGGCATGGCAATCAGCAAACTTCCGGGGACTACCAGTTTCGTAAATCGGGTCCTCCGGAATCACAGCCTCCACTGCCATTATGTCGATGGGCTGGGTGTCAACCTGCAGCAGCATAGGATATGCTTTCTTATATATATATATATACGCATGTAGACTATTTTTCTGTGCAGAAGCTATATATATGCTTTCTATCGTAAAGCCATAACTAGATGTATATAGATATATAGATATATCCATCGATACTTAACAATGAACCTATCTATCTATCTATCTGTCTGTCTGTCTATCTATATATCTATATCTATATCTATATCTATATCTATATATATATCTATATCTATATCTATATCTATATATATATATATATTCATTTCTGTACGCGCATGTGTGTGTGTGTGTTTCAGAGTTGAACTTGGGTGGTCTTCCTCAGGGCCCCGTGACCCTGAA